ATCCCTGACAGCCACAGCCAGCAGATCCCTGACGGCCACAGCCAGCAGATCCCTGACAGCCACAGCAAACAGATCCCTGACAGCCACAGCCAGCAGATCCCTGACAGCCACAGCACAGGGAACAGGAGCCACGAACAGGGACAGTGTGTGGGTCCGTAAAGCAACTCCCAGCAGCTTTTCAAACCAAGCAGAAAACAATCACAATGAGATCTCTCTCGGTTCCACGTGTGTGTGTACACTGCAGGAAGGCAGGAACACCCTTTTGATTACTGTGATCATAAAGATTCTGACAATGCCATGCCTGAAGCTCACCAGTCCTCAAACAGAGCCCAGTCAAGGAAACCTCCTGCAGAGAGAGGAGTTCCCTCTGCCATCTCCCCTCCACCTCCCAGCACAGGCTCTGCTAACAAACACCAGAACCATTATTCTCCTCCTTCCCTAACACATGCTGCAACCCAGGATGGACATTTTCCAGCTGACTTCCTGCTACAACTCCAGACTCACTTTTTCACATTTTAACACCCACTGACAGCGTGGAATTTTGCCAGAGTTAGAACCACGGTCACCAGGAGATTCCCACATCTTGTTTTCTCCCTGCACCACCTTTTCCCTCGAGCTCCCCAGTTCCAACCTTGTAAACCACGTACAGGGAGTGCACAAGGTGCTGTGCTCAGAACAGCATAGAAAAGCTGCTTTCTGTAAGTGAAGAATGGCACAGGACAGTTCCCTTCCTCAGATGGTCTCTGTGCTATTTCTGTCTCACAACAAATTAGTATTTGAAATTATCATTATTATTACTGAAGCTTATTAGCAGGGAAGGCAGCGAGACTGCAGTACTGATTAAAGCAGCTGAATTTACTCTGTTGAACAATGGCACTAAGGCAAAGCCCCTGCAGATGCTTCCCAGCCTGTGCTGGGACAGCAGAGCACCACACTCTGCTTTCAGAACGGCTTCCATTAAACATCTGCACTCAAGTCAACTTCAGAGCTGGCGTGGAGTGATTTAGAACAATTCAGCAGCAGCTTGTTTGTAACTAACTTTACTTCAGTCTAATTCACCCTTCCAGTGAACTCACTTTGTTTTTACCCAATCAGTGAAGTTGTGTCTTGGCCAAATACAGGACCCCAAAGTGAACTCTCTCGGTTTCACCGCTTTTTATGTGAGACAAAGACCAGCAACTGGTCAGGACTCCCGTGTTGTTCTTATGAAATGAAAAAGAAGATGAAAAACTTCAGCCAAAAACTGCAGCAGCAAGTAAGGAGACCTTGCCTGAGCCCACCCTGAGCTCTGTGTCTGGCCACACCAGGGTCACACACTCACCACAGAGAGCTGACTCCACGTCGACCTCAGGGGCTTGTACTGGAAAACAACCTTGTCATCTGCTTTCTGCTCCCGGGGCTCAGAGTCCTCATCAGAATCTATGTCCAGAGCTTTTTCCTTATAGTTCTGATATAATACAGCATTTTCTGTCAAACAGCAACAGTGTGTCGGTCAGCGCTAGAAAGTTGGTTTAGTTGCTCTCTTAAGAATTATAAGTAACAATTAAACAATGAAAGAAAGCAAAGTGTCACTGTGGCCTCCCCACTCCACCAGACAAAGATAGCATCTGATTTGGGCTGGACAATGGTGCAGTACAGTGACAATGGGTCACTGTACCGCTCCCAAAGATCCTCACGGACAGAATTAAAGAACAGATGTGGCCTTTGTCAAGAAAAAAACAGAAAACGATTTTTTCTTCCTTGGTTTGCTGTACCCTATTTCATAATTAGCCAGCAATTAGAAAACAGGACTGTGGGTCAGTGGATCAGTCACTGATCTGGAGGTCTAGCTATTTTCATAATGTCTTAGCATTTCCCTAAGCGAAGGAAACGATCCCAGTTTCAGAATTAAGGTCAGAACTATTCCAAATAGAAAAATTCAAAGCTTTCCTGAGTAAGCACGAGGCCTATGAACCTTAAGACAAAACAGACTGAGTTCTGTCATCATTAATCCAGTACTATCAGTGGCAAAGAACCACAGGTGTGGAGCACACCCTCTCCACCTCCCAACCTCCCTGCTCACACACCCTGTGCAACAGCAGACAGAGAGGACAGAGAAATTCAGCACCACAATGACCCACAGGTGGATTAAGCTGTTTAGCAAGCGGGCTCTGAAGGTACTTTTAGATGGGCCACGCTTTGGATAACATCCAATCCTCCCCTGAAAGGGAAAAGTGGAAGGTAACACAGCAGCTGAGACGAGCTCAAGGAGGCATTAAGCAGAGAAAAGCCAAGTGAGTAGCAGTTATTACAATAAAACTTCCATAGCTCATAGCCAGGAAAGATTTCTTTTTCTTGTTGAAATATTGGGAAAAGCAGCAAACTTGGCAAAGCCCAGAATTAATAAGTACTACAAAAATGCTTATACATGGACAATGTTTTTCTTGAAGCCAAGGTAGCATAAAAGGAAAAGGATGACAGAGCCAAAGGATTCACCCCAGCACTTGAGGAAAGGAGAGAAACAGCTGTGTGACCCAGCAGCTCAGAGCAAAACGACTCAGGTGTGTGCTGACCCCAAACATGGAAGTGATCCACAATGCCCTGCACCTGAGCTGCAGGGGTGACTCCAAACCTGATCCACAATGCCCTGCACCTGGGCTGCAGGGGTGACTCCAAACTGTGATCCACAATGCCCTGCACCTGGGCTGCAGGGGTGACTCCAAACCTGATCCACAATGCCCTGCACCTGGGCTGCAGGGGTGACTCCAAACCTGATCCACAATGCCCTGCACCTGGGCTGCAGGGGTGACTCCAAACCTGATCCACAATGCCCTGCACCTGGGCTGCAGGAGTGACTCCAAACCTGATCCACAATGCCCTGCACCTGAGCTGCAGGAGTGACTCCAAACCTGATCCACAATGCCCTGCACCTGGGCTGCAGGAGTGACTCCAAACCTCATCCCCAATGCCCTGCACCTGGGCAGAGCCCAGGGAACAGACATGAAGGCAGATCCACCTGGAGGGGCCATTGCCCCCCAGGGAACTGTACAGAACTGTCAGCGCTGAGACAGACACATCCAAGAGCTCATCTTCTGGGAGGGACAGGAGATCAAGTGGAAAAGAAGCCCCTCACATAAACCCCCATTTTTAGCCTGCCATTTTACAGTCTTTAAAATATCCCTAAATTGGCCCCTATGCTTGGGGCCAATATTTCAGTCAGTTTATTGAAAAGAGAGGGATTTAATCTTTGACTTCATAGGAAGGAAGTGTGAAAACCGACCCTGAAGTTCATTTCCCTGGGGACAGAGTGATTAGCCAGTCTGTACAGAACAGGGCTTACCTTCCCCATCGAATGTCCCTTGGCCTTTCAGCATCTTCTGCAGTTTTAACAGAAAAGAGAGAGCTGTGTTAGAAAGACAATGCAAAAGAACCACAGCAACAAGAACTTGTTTTATTCAGCACTTAGGCACCAAATCAACAGGCCCTAACCTATAAACTCTGGATGTTGGACAGGAGTTCAACAGAAACAACTCTTTCACCACAGCAAGTAAAAAGCTACTCTAGTTTCATTTCTCTCATGCGTTGTTTATGTGTGTTTTCCCCAAATGCTTCATTTTCCCCGTGTTTCAGAAGCACATTATACTGGTTTGAGAGGGGTTCAGTGAACTTGCCCCTCATCCCACTGTCTCGGGGCTTTCCTGGGAGGCCACAGGGCCCAGGACTGAGTGGCTGCCCTTCCACACTCTGCAAACAACACCCACCGTAAGTACTTTGTAAGCGAAGGTTTTGAGAGCAAAACAAACCTCTGAAATAAAACAGCTGTTCTGCTGCAAACAAGCCCTGTGGGCTAAGAGTCCAATAAAACACTGCTGGCAGAGAGCTCTGCGTGTTAGGACAGGACAGTGTGACATCCTCCTCTTCTAAACATAACTTACTGCTCAAGTCTACTACCAAACCAGATCACTTCCTACTCTGCAGTTGCTCACAATTTGATCAAGTCCTGTTTCACCACTTGTAGCATTTTCACAAAAGCTTCAATTACCATAATTCTGAATTTGTCTGAAAACTGTCACAAAGCTGATAATCACTTTGATAGCTAGAGCATCAGCCCTTAGCCTGGTATCCTTTATTACACAATTCCAAACACTCCACAGATATCTATGAACGTATTTCATAAAGTAACAAATTCTATTTAAAAATAAGGAAATACAATATTACACTATATGTTCAAGCAAAAGAGTATTTTCAGTAAGTCCGTATAACTTAATTTTAATGCATTAACATGCAATTCAAATCTACTACTTCTCCCAAGGGATACAACCAAGATATAAAAACAGGCATTCTGCTTTTACTTGTAAGCATTAAAATTAGGGTAATGGAAGTGGTCTCTATCGATTTAAAAACCACACAGTAATTTTTACACGTAATTCAGAAGTGATGTCTCAGATAGGGGAGCGCAGGAGGAAGTTCATTTTTCTGTCTCTACTCTAGCAGGCAGAGTTTATTAGGACAATGTCTCTTTTTTTTTCCTGTTTACTCCTTTCTGGGAAGCGGGTTTTAAGCCACGAGTTCGGTTGTGAGAGCAGCCCTCTGTGAGCTGGGGAATCCAGCAGGAAACGCGAGCCAGAGCACAGTGCTGAGCTGCTCGGATTCCAACAGAATCGTGTCCCTCCAACAGAATCGTGTCCCTCCAACACCTCGCTTAGAAAACAGCATTAACTAAACAGCGGTAACTACGAGCAGCTTTGTGTTAGCAAAAAGCAAACTAAAAAAAACCGTACAGTCAGCAAATCACGCTCCTGCGGAGCCGCAGCATCACCGCCCAGCGCACCTCACCTTTATCCTGCCCAGGCTCGAAAACTTCTCTTTATCCTCGACCACGGCTTTCAGGATGGGCTGGGACATTCTGTTCTTTTTCTTGCAGTTGGCGGAGCCGTCCAGGTCCACGCCGCTCACCACGGCCCGGCGGTAGGACGTGGAGCGGAGCCCTCGCCGCAGCGTGCCCGGGCTGCCCGGGCCGCCCTCGGGCTCGTCCTCGGCGTCGCTGCCCGGGGGCAGCCGGGGGGTCTCCACCAGGCTCCGAGCCTTCAGCAGCCGGTCGTGGCCCTGGGCCCGGCCCGCGGGCCGGCTCTCGGCCAGGCTGAGCGGGATCAGCTGCTGCGAGCCCACCTTGCGCGCCGCGGGGCTGTGCGTGCTCAGCAGCGCGGGGGGCTCCGCGGGGGGATCCCCCGGCACCTCTGGCGGCTCAGCCCGGCCGATCCCGGGGGATCCCCTCGGGGGCTCAGCCCGGCCGATCCCGGGGGATCCCCTCGGGGGCTCGGCGGTCCGGCCGATGCCGGGGGATCCTCCCGGTACCCCTGGGGACTCGGCGGTCCGGCCGATCCCGGGGGATCCTCCCGGTACCCCGGGGGGCTCGGCGGCCTGGCCGCATGGCGCGGGCTGCGCGCTGGCCGCGAACACGATGCGGTCCTGGTGCGGGGCCAGCCCCGCAGTCCTGGGCGGCCGGGCCCGGCGGCCCTGCCCGCTGGCCGGGGCGAGGACGGTGCCGTTGGCGGTCGAACCGACGGGGCTGTCCGGAGCCAGGGCGAGCAGCCGGGAGCGCTCAGGGGACAGCCCTGGCGAGCGCGGCGGCCGCACGGTGCCGTTGGACACGGATCCCATGGCGGGGCTGACGGTGCCGGCGGGCTGGGTCACGGTGAAGGCGCACCTGTCCTCCAGGGGGAAGTCGGTGACGAGCAGCCCGCTGGGGCTCTGGTACGACTGCGGCCGGGGCTTGCTCCAGGCGAGGGGCTGCGGCCGGGGGGTCGCCCGCCTCCTCCAGCGCGGCGCGGCGGGGCCCGCCCGGGGCTGCCCGTCCATCGCCGCCCGCCCGGCGCCGCTCGCCCAGGGAGGCGGGCGGGGAGCGCTCTGCGGGCGCGGGGCCAGCGCGGGCCGGGCCGGGCCGGGCCGGGCGGGGGAGGGCCGGGAGAGCGGCCCCCGCTCGCACCGCCCGCACGGGGCCGCTCCCGGGGCCGCTCCCACCTGCGGCTCGGCCGGGCCGGGCGGAGCTTCCGCCGCCGGCACAGCCCCTGCGGCCGCCGGGCCGGGCCCGGCCGTCCCCTGCCCGCAGGTAGCGGGAGGAGCGGGGTCCCGCCTGTGCCGCCCCGGGGGCGCGGGGTGAGCGCGGTGCCGGCCGGCCCGGAGCGGGGCTGACTCACCGCAAAGCCGCGGGCAGGGCTGGCTCCAGCAGCGCCGCTCCAGCCCCGGCCGTCCCCAGCAGCGACAGCCCCGGGCTTCCCGCTGCGGGACCCACCGTACCCTCCACGTGGGGGAAAGGTTGGAATTCCCCCTTGCCGCGTGGCCACGGCGGCAGCCGCGTGCAGCAGTGCCAGCCCTGTGTCCCAGCCCGCTGTGCACGATGCCGTCCTTGTGTCCCAGCCCGCTGTGCACGATACCGTCCCTGTGTCCCAGCCCGCTGTGCACGATGCCGTCCCTGTGTCCCAGCCCGCTGTGCACGATGCCGTCCCTGTGTCCCAGCCCGCTGTGCACGATGCCGTCCCAGGCAGGGGCTCGCGGGCCCCTCTGCCCCCACACCTGCTCGTTGATTAGGGGACACGGTGCACCTGCCTGGCTCGGGCTGCCTCGCTGTGCCGGAGTGCTGCGAGAGGAGCAGCTTTGTGGTAAACAAGTAGGATGTAAACCAGGAATCTGCTGGGAATTCTGACACATCAGCCCGAAACACTGTGTCTGTAAAAATAGTGAAACTTAACTGTGGCTTTGATACATCTTATAACGTCACCATAGTCAAAGGAGAACAGACTAGGTTTTAGAAAGCAAAACGAAGGAATGCTGGCGTTCCTGTGCCAGCAGCTGCACAGGCCCTGTCTTCTCCCATCATGGGACACATGCTCTGGCAGCCCAGCCAAGGGTCCCTGTGCCCCACAAGGGACAGCCTCAGCAGAGTCCCTGACAGAAGTGACACGGACATTTTTCTGTTCTATTACATTCAGTAATAATTACAACATGCCCTTGCTTCACTGACTGCTCCTTTGCAGTTAAAATCTGCTCTGCTTCTATTGGAAAAAAAAAATGATCCCCATGTTTTAAAAACCATGTTGTCAGAGCACGTGGAGCATTTAGCATGAATAACTATTTAGCTCCACTAAGTGTTACGTTGGACATGAACATAAAATGGAATTTAAAATACTCCCCTAGTACTACATTGCAAAGCTAAATTGTTTGTCAGGCTTCCCTCAAGTGCATGAAAGACAAAATCTAGGTGTGATTCTGTTCCCGTGTGATGAACACACCCCCTCTGCACTGGCAGAACAGTAACACCGGGAATATTTGGAGATGCTGGAGCCCAGGCTCTGCCTCCACAGCCTGGCACTGCAGTACAGAGGTCTGGAGCTGGGCCGGGAGGCACGGAAGGACACGGCACATACCTGGGTGTGAGTCCTGGCCTTCACCAGAGCTCTGCCACTGCAGCTGGGGGGAACCTTCAGGCCATTTACCTGTGAGTGGCCCTCAGGAAACACTGCAGGGGGAGCGGGGAAGGCTTTGTTAGGCTGGGGAGTGAGCAGGGAAGGCTTTGTTAGGCTGGGGAGTGAGCAGGGAAGGCTTTGTTAGGCTGGGGAGTGAGCAGGGAAGGCTTTGTTAGGCTGAGCAAGTTCCCTCACCCCCGCTGACAGGGCCCTTGGCTTTCATCGCCTGCGGGATGCAAACTTGATTTCTGCTGAAACTCGAACCGAGAGGGCAATCCCAAAAGCTTTGATTAGAGCCTGGACTCAGCAGTGATGCTGTATGGCAAGTGCTTGGCAGGTGGAGGGCTGGAGAACTCCTGGGGGTGGAGGAGAGAGTTTTGGGGAGTGCTCAACAAAGTTACTTGTTTTTTATGGATGGGCAGCTACTTAGGCTCCTGGATAAACTTGCAGAAGGGGCAAAAAACATTAGATTTGTAACTGTTCTCTCCAGACTTGCAAGAGTTCATATATCACCAAATCAGAAAAGAATAGAGTAGATTAGAAGTGCTCTATGATATTTTTAAGATATAAAAAAATATTATTTACACTAAGCCTATTTAGTAGGTAATAAAAAATCAGGAAAAAATACAGAAGAAAACATAAGGAACAGCCAACCCCATATACATGCACACAAACCTCAGATATATTAATTCTTCTGCCAGGAGAACCCAGGGAAAACAAAAATCTGATTAAGAATCAAATTAAGCAAAGCACAAAGAAATTAAAATGGGCAAATTTTTATGTCCAACAGATGAGAGAAAACTGCAAATTGCCACTCCAGCTTCAAACAGCCAAAGCAGAGGGAGAAGCCACAGGCAGACCCTAAGATGCTGGTTCAGTTGTCAGTTGGGATTTCACACTGGATTATTTCTAAACTTGTCTCTCAGCTGTCTACATGAAATTGCCAAGGAATTGGATATAGCCGCTCCATATTACTTAACTCATAAATCCTAATTATTAATAACCAAGGTAATCAGCTTTTACAAGATTATTCTCTTGCACATACTTATTCATTGTGCTGCAATTACAAGAGTAATTTGGTTGCAGCTCGGTGTTCCATTTCATATACAGTAAAAGAGAAATAAAACCTTACAATAAAATTGCCATCGTAAGAAAAGTAAAATCAGCTCTATAATTTAGGAGAAGAAAGAAATGTAAGCATAGTAATTAACCCATCCTCCAAAGCCAGGTCACAGTGTGAAATCACCGAGGCACTTGGGTAGCAGTGCCCAAACCTGATAACAAGCCCACAAGTAATAGTCAGATTAAACAGCACTTTGGAATCCCTTTGGAAGGGCTGCAGGGTTCAATATATACTTTTATGTAAGATCTCAATGTAAAAATGTCAATGTTCATGCAGGAACTTACAGGAGGTGTGTAAAGGCTTGCAGTTGGGGCTGTGCTTTCTGCCAAAGTAGAGAGGAGGAAGAAGAATCCGTGGATACTTTGTAGGTCCAGTTTCAGAACATTCAGACCTCCCCTCCAGCTCTGGGCTGTCTCTGGCGTGTGCTGGGCTGGAGCTCTTCAGTGCTGCAAACACCTGGAGCTGTGGGGACACACCGGTAATTCAGTGTTTCTGAATAAACTGAGTTTGCTGTGTCAGTGCTTCCCAACCTCTCTGTCCTTCAGCCAGTTCTGGGGTGTAAGGAGTGTGGAGCAGAACTCGGCCAGTGGGCACTGCAGCAGAGGGAATTCCCATGCATTGCTGCATCCCTTTGGAACCTTTCCCTGAACGAGCCATGAACACCCCCACAGCTTCAGAGCTGTGCTGGTGACTCTGGCTGCTCAGGGCCCATCATCCCCCACTGCCTCCAGCCTCCTCAGGGGCATTTCCATCAGCATCTGCCCCCAAGAGAGGGTGACACGGCTCCAAGGAAACTGCCCAGCTGCTGGTTAGTCCCCCAGGAATCACTGCATGTCCCATCTGTGTTAACTGGCAGCTAGGGAGTAATAATACCAGTAACACTCGTTTGAAACGCATCTCCTTCAGCAGGGACGGGGTCAGCACTGGTGAAGAAAAGATGAGATGTCAGTGTGACAGTGTCAGTGTGACAGTGTCAGTGTGACAGAGTGTCAGTGTGACATGTCAGTGTGGCAGAGCTGGCTCTGCTGGAATCCTCCCGGCACTGCTGGCACTGCCTGTCCAGGGACACGAAGCGGGCACTGGAGCCTCTTGCCAGCGTGAGCAGCAGGATTTTCCCAAGGAGGACACGGTTACTCCAGCAACACAGGCAATCCCTGAGCACTCCAGCCATGGGATGCAGGAAGGGTCGAGCCTCCCGACCTTCTGCCCCCTGTCTCTCTGCACAACCGTGTGTAGGCTGTGGGAGGTTTTGCTTTGAACACTGCCCAGCCAAAGTTTAACTGTAAATCAATCCAGGAAGGCAGAAGATAGGTTCTGTAATTACTTCTATTTTCCTCTGAATTGTTTTTGCTGTTGTTAAAATAATCAGCAATAGTAGAAAGCATTGCAGCATTAACTAAAAACTTTTAGGGGAAAACCACATCACACTGCACTGCAGGAATAAAGAACCTATTAGTGCTCAGGGACCATCAAATTTGAAACAAGATGCTGTTTTACTGTAAAATGGGATGAAAAGAAAAAGAGTAAGAAAGAATGTGTAACCCTTCCTCTCCAGTTTAGTTATATTCATTGGTTTTTTCAGTTTTATGATTCCATTTACATGTTTGAAATTCTAACCGTGAATTTCCTCTCAGTAATTCAAAGATTCAATATCTTTTCTACAGGATAAGGGTTAATGGAAAGTCCCTGAAAATGTAGGTATAAATTTTTTTATCTGATGACTGTAGTTCTAAGATGTTGCTATTTAAAGAGTTTGCAGGATTTCAAACATCTCCCAACAAAAGGATTGAGGCACTGCCTGCCATAGCTGAAGAGTTTTGGTGGTTGCCATTAGAAACTCAAGCAAGGCTGGGAGCCTTCAAGGACAGCCTGTGCTGCTCAAGGATGCTGATTGCTGGGTCTGCTCTCTTTGTTCTCCCTTTGGCTGTGTGTGCACAGAAATGTCTGAGCAAGAGATGGGGGAAGAGTAGGTCCTTGCTGTGGGTAGGTCTCCAGAGAGCTGCTGCTTATTGCCTAAGTTTGGCTTCTGCTGGGATTTTTGGTCTGGTTTTTATTTTTAAGGAATGGACATTCTGCTCGTACAGGAATTAAAAACATATCTATAAATGGAGAACTCCGTTGGTTTTTATTTGTTTCCTGAAGGATAGGTGGTGATTTCTGTGTGTGATACACCACTGTCACTCTGCAGTGGGAGCAGCTGAGTCACCTGCTGTCAGCTCCCTGAAGGCTGTGGCTCCCCAGCCCTGCAGTGCCACTGCACTTTGCCGGCCTGCCCTGCCCTTCCCGGGAGCTT